CAGGCCCACTGAAGGCCATGGCCGGGCCTGGGGCCCAGCAGGGGGCAGTGTTGGGCCCATGGAGTCCTGGCTCTTTCCGCAGCTCACACCTCCTCTCTCTGCAGAGACCTCGGTGAGCGCACCAGAGCGCTGGCTGGTGTGGCCGGCTGTGTGGACAAGGACCCCCAGGCCCCGGGCAGTGCCGCCTGCTCACCCTGGGCCCCGGTGACGGTGCACAGTGAACCCCGGGAAGACCCCGCCTGCCCCCAGGCCCACCGCTGCAAGGCCCAGACAGCCCAGGCCCGAGCCGCCCTCCACACCGAGGCGACCCGTCAGCTGGCCACCTGTGTTTCGACGTGTGTCCAGCTCGAGGCGGGTCAGTGAAGTAGAGTCCGGTTTCGGGATCCTTGGGCCTGGTGCGGAGCTGGGCGTGCCCTGTGCCTGCAGCTCAGCGGCAGCAGCTGTGACAGCCGGGCTCCTGGGAATCGCCCTGAGGCGGGCAGAGCAGCGGCAGCCCCCAGCCAGGGACCTGAGCGGCTGGACATGAGGACATCTGCTCCGCACAGCCCAGGGGAGTGGACAGCCCGTCCTGGCTCCCAGCGGCCAGGCTGCCTCCACAGGGAGTGCTCCTCCCAGGGTCTTCGCGGTTGCGGGGAGGGTGGGAAGTAAACAAGTCTCAAACTGAAAATCGCAGAGGGGAAATCACGGCTCAGTTCAACCCCTGCAAACCACTCAGGGGAAGTGTCTAGATGCAGCCTTTATCCCCCCAGCTGCGTGGACAAGGACCCCGGGCCCCTGGCAGTACCGCCTGCTCACCCTGGGCCCCGGTGACGGTGCACAGTGAACCCCGGGCCCCTGGTGGGGCACCCCCCGGCCCTCTGGGCAGCACGCTCAGCAGGGCAGGTCTCAGGGCCTCTCGTGGGGAGCCCTCTCCACCCCCTCTCCCCCGCCCGCCCCCCCCACCCCGTGTCGGGGTCCGTCAGCGGGAGGAAGGCACTGGATCGTGAAGGCCGCTGGCGGCTCCGGGTGCTGCTGGATGTCAGGAATTCCTGGGCGGTGGCACCTCCAGTGCCAGGGCTCCTCACACAGGCGTGGGCTTTCACGGTGAGAGCTGCCAAGGCCCAGGAGTCCTGCTTGGTCACTGCTGGTCAACACAGAGGCAGATCCCACTTTTGAGGGGAGGGCGTACCGGCCAGGAGCTCCCTCAGGCCCAGTGGAGCCATCGCAGTCCCTGGCCCTCCCGGCCAGAGCAATCAGATACAGAGCCCCCCAGCCCTGCTCCCGAGGGGGTGGCTGGAGGGAGCCCCATCACAGTGACCCCCTCAACCAGAGCAGCGCAGGGTCCGTCCTGGGGTCCCTGCAGGCTCCGCTCTCCTGCTTGTCCTGGAGTGGCCAGCAAGGCCCCTCAGCCACGTGCGAGGGGTCCTGTGGGCCGGACAGAGCGGGCAGCCCCTGCTTCTTGGCCCTGTAGAGGGCGACGTGAAGGGGGTCGAGTGCCTCGTCCTCAGTGCTCAGCTGGAGCAAGCCCAGCGGGCCCCGCGCCCAGCCCTCGCAGGGAGGAAGTGGCAGAACCTGGGGGCAGGAGGCCTGCCGTGGGGGCTGGGGAGGGCGAGGGGAGGCCGGTGTTTTGTCCCCGGTGCCTGACCCTGGGCCACTGGTCAGAGGACAGGAGGAGTGGGGTGAAGTGGCAAAAAGAGGGAGGCCCCATTCCCCTCCAGCTCCTAGGAGCTGAGAGAGAGGCCTCCAGATGCCCACAGGGGCTGCAGGGGCAGAGGCAGGGGAGGCGGTGGTGCCCCGCTGGCAGGGTGCCGCCTGGTGCTGCCATTGCCAGGAGGCCTGGGGGAGGCGGCCTCAGCAGTGCGGTGCGTGGTCCCTGTGGTCTGGGGGTCTCAGCGGGGTTGGGAGGTGCCCCACCAGGAGCAGGGACAGAGCTGCCTTCCTACAAGCTTTCCGAGCACAGCAGCCTCCCAGCCATGGACACGAGGGGGGTGGGCAGCTGGCCCCAGATCACAGCTTGTCCTGGGAAGAGAGAAACCCTTCTCTTCTGTTCCTTGACCCCCCACCTCACCGCGGGGCTGCGCATCGCTTGCCGGCCACAGGGCTCCCCTGCACCCCCTTCTCAGCTGAGAAATGGGGACTGTGCTGCTGACAGCATGAGGCTCAGTGAAATCAGGCTGTGAGACAGCCCCTCGGGCAGCTCGGGCGCCACCACAAAGCCACAGCCCCTCATCGCCTGGCCCAGGAGGCTGGACGCTCTGCCTCAAGGTGCGGGCGGGTTGGCTTCTGGAGGCCCTTTGCTGGCCTGCGGACGGCTTCTCCCTGGGTCCTCATGGGCCTTTTCTTGGTTCATGTGCAGGGAGACAGAGAGGAGGACGAAAGTGAGCTCTGGTATCTCTTATGAGGACACTAACCCTATGGGATCAGGGCCCCACCCTTAAGACCTCATCCCCTAATTACTTCTTTAGAGGCCCATCTCCAAATGCAACCACGTGGGAAGGTAGGGCTTTGATTATGTGGACTTGGGGGCACACAAACATTCAGTCCATGACAACCCGTCTCCCTAGCGTCTCAAAGGCCCAGACAGCCTCATCTGCTCCTGCAGGTCCAGTGTGACCAGCGGGGCTCTGCCCCCTGGAGGCAGGGGCAGCATCCGCTCCAGCACACGCCTTGTTACAGGACTGAAGGGCCTGTGCTTCAGACCCCAGTAAGACACACACGGGAGTGCGCAGCACAGACAGCAGGGCTTATTTTTAGGAAATGGCCCAGCCCAGAGACAGGGCTGCTGCTCAAAGACCTGGCTCCCGATGGCTTCCAGGGAAATCATTCATCACGGTGACTCAGGCGCCAGGGCCGGCCCCTCCCGATGGGTCAGTGCTGGGGGGCGGGGGTTGGGGGGGTGTGATCAGAGCCGCTGGTGCTGCTTTTCTGAGCCTGGAGCTGAAACACACTGAGGCCTAGCTGTGATCTCTGGTTTGGCTGAAACTGGGTCTCTGGAGTCGGCAGACCCCAGGCGTTGTTCCCAAGATGAGTCCATGCTGATCGGACCCTCCTTGTCCAGGGCTTCACCCTAAGGGAGTGGCCGCAGGGAGCAGGGGCAGGTGAGGCAGGTGCTGGATGAGGCCATTGAATCAAACAGAAAGAAAGAAGAGGTCACATCAAAGAAATGCGTAGAGGTCTACGCGGGTGTACCTCCAGGTCTCGGGGAGGGGGGAGCCTTGCAGGGCGGCCCCAGCAGACCAGGGTCTGGGCTGGAGGGACACAGCTCCCTGGGTGGCTGCCTGGCAGCACTGACTGTGGCAGGAGGAACCCTCGGTGTGGGCGGGCGGGCACAGCAGGGAGAGCGGCACCACTGGGCACTGGGCGCATCACCCTCAGGCCTGGGTGCTGGCGAGCCCACGGAGTGCAGTGGCTGTGATGGCTGAACCTCGGAGAAGCCCATCAGCCGTCGCTGCTGGGGCCGTCCTCAGTCCTCATCCCCAAGCGGCGAGCAGGGTCAGGCTAAGGAGTCGCCTGGGAACCTCACTGCCAGGCAGCACCGCCGCAGCTGGGCACAGGCTTCGGGAAGACTGTGCATCACGACTCCTCCGCAGCTGGCCCTGTGTCCCCTGATCCGCTGCCAGGGAGAGAGCCAGACCGTGGCGACACCACCGCTGCCATGTTGTCCCATCTCTGCCGTTCCTGTCGGTTCTGCGGGGACCCCCCCCCCCCCACGTCTCCACGCGTCTGGGAGCTCAGCTGGGTGCTCAGCAGGAAGCCGGTGCCTAGAGCATCCCTCCCGCAGCATGGGGGCGGGTCCAAGGGTGTCTCCCGAGAATCGGGAAGCAGGGCTGTGGGTTCCTAAGGCCTGAGCCCAGACTGTGCCCTGTGGGCCGAGCAGTTAGAGGGGCGGCTGCCAGAGAAGGTCTAGGGATGCCCCCCTCCCCCGCCAAACACCCTGACGCATTTGCTCTCAGACCCCACATCCAATCCTGCAGCAAGTCCTTTAGCTCCACCTCAGAATCCATCTGGGAACCGTCTCCCCGCCCCCACGGCCGCCACTCTGGCCCGGCCTCAGCCTCCTCTGCCTCCTGGTCTCCCTGCCTCCATCCTGTCCTCGTCCCAGATTCCGTTTCCACAGCTATCAGAGGGCTGTGTTTCTTTATTGTGGTAAAATATATGGAACATAAAATTTTACCAACTTAATTATCTTCTCGTGTACAGTTCAGTGGCATTAAGTACATTCTCACTATTGTACAACCATCCATTTCCAGAACTTGCTCAGCTTCTCAAACCAAAACTGTCCATTAAGTAATACCGCCGCCACCCCCCCCCCCCCCCCCCCCAAGCACCATCTGCTGTCTGCCCATGAACTAACTGCTCCGGGAGCCTCGTAGGAGGGGAGCACACAGTCTGTGTCCTTTTCTGGCTGCACGATGTTGCTGGGTGTGATGTCCTTAAGGTGATCCTTGTTCACTGCATGGATACAGCGCGGTGTGGGCCTAAGAGTACACTGGCTGGATGTGCAAGGCTGCTCTAAGCGTGGGTCTAGTCGGGGTGCTCAAGGCCAAGATACTTGTATGCAGGTGCAAGGTCGCCGCAAGCCTTACACTGCACAGACGTGCCCTTCTGTAGCCACAATATGATTGTGAAACTATTGGCATGACGCCTTCTTTGTCTAAGGAGCAATATACAGGCTACTGACCAGCTAGTCTGAAGGGGAGTGTGAAGGAGACTAAACTGGAGAGACGGAGCTGAGAGCTGGGACTGCTACGATGTAAGGCTAAGAGCTCAGCTATAGCTGCCACGTTAACCAGCCAGTGTGCTGGGCAGGGCGACAGGAGAAGCTGCCGAGCCAGAGAGCTCAGGTACCGCTACGATGTGAGGCGGTGAGTCTAGGGGGCAGCGTGCGGCTGCTCAGATAATGGCTGTGGGTACAGAGACGGATGTTGCTTTGTGGGAAAGATGTATCTGTTCACCAGCCGGTGTGCAGCCGCCTGCTGTATGCACTTCGCTGTGAGGACTGTCCCGTCTGATGGCTGTGTGGCCACTGGCTTCTGCAATAAAGACTCATCCTTATACACCCACAACCTCTCATGGCTTTTCCGTCTAAGACCCAGGGTCCAAGGAGGTCCAGCCTCAGGCAGAGGGCTCGGACCCAACACCTATAACTAGTGAGCAGAGGATAGAGGAACTTGGACTAAGTCCCAACAGTTATACAGCGGGCAGGGTTCAGGCAGGAGCCAGCCTGGCGCAGTCGGGAAGAATTGGGAATACATGGACTCAGAGCTGAGCAGGGCTCTGGCTGTCTCCGACACACGGGTTATCCATTTGTGGTTGATGGACGCTTGGGCTGTTTCCACTCTGCTACTGTGAATAGTGCTGCTATGAACATGGGTGTTCACATATATTTTTGAGACCATGCTTTCAACTCTTGTGTAGACAGAAGGTTGTTTTAAGAACATAAATCAGAGCAGATCACCACACCTTCCCTCACTCCTAACTCAGACTATGGGCTCCTGACTGCCTGGCCTGCGTTATCCACCCCTCACTGCCCGCCTTTACCCCCATTGCTCCCCTCCATCCCCCTGCTGTCCCACATGCACAGAAAGGGCATCCAGGCCTGGGCTCTCATATGCACGTTTCCTTTGGAAAACTTCTCCAACTATCATGTGACTTGCTCCCTCACTTCAGCAAGGCCTCTGCCCCTAAATGTAGTGGCTCAAAAACAATAATCATAGCCCTGACTGGTTTGGCTCAGTGGATAGAGCGCCGGCCTGTGGACTGAAGAGTCCCAGGTTCGATTCTGGATAAAAAACAAACAAATAAGAAAAACAATAATCATTTGTCATCTTACAGTTTTCAGTGAGGCCTGGCAGGGCAACTGTGGCTCCAGGGTCTCTTGTGAGGCTGAGGTCAGACCAGCCAGGGCTGTGGTTTCATCTGAAGGTTTGACTGGGGCCGGGAATCCACTGCCACGTGATTCACTCCCTCATGGCCGGTGGGTGCTGGCCGATGGCTGGGGCCTCCTCCCCACGTGGGACTCTCCTTACGACACGGCAGGTGGTGGCTCCCTAGAGCAAGTGGAAGAAAGGCCGGAGCCAAGTGTGCTTTGTGACCAGCCTCCGAAGTCCCGACCGCCACCTCTGCCCCATTTCACCGTTGCACAGACAGCCCGATTTGCCATAAGAAGAGTTTGCAGAACAGTGTGACCCAGGATGTGACGGTTGTGGGCCGTCTCGGAGTCTGACTGAGGCCCACGCGGCCCCTGTCCTTGGGAGCTGATGTTCCAGGGGGAGAGGGACAGCGAGAAGTGCCAGTGACAGGACCGGGGCCGGGGAGGAGCCCTGTGCCAGGCGTTCCCCAGGGATGGACCAGACCCTGGGGTTTGTGCTGGACGGGTCTGTGAAACATGAAGTTCTTACTATGAATGGGATTGAACAGCTTAGTATGGTGTTTCCTCTTTCTCTGAACATAGGAGTGTTGACCTCTTTCTTCCTGGTTTCTAGGAGCTCTTTATTAATTTGGGAGCTGAGCTGCCAACATTTCCCAGGTTTCTTGTTTGCTATTTGACTTTGATGACCTGTTGGAGTGGAGGCTGGAGACAGGCCTGCACCGGGGAGCGAGCCCTGAGAAAGTCAGGAGACGGCAAGTGCAGACACCACGTTGCATGAGCTTTCCCTGGTGGTTTAAAGTTGTATTTCCTTCTGATCAGGTAAAGACGCCATGATGACAAGGTCTGAAAGAAGCGAAGGAGGTGGAAGCTGTCAGGCTGAGGGTCAGGGCAGTGCGTCCGTGACATCAGGGACAGGTGGGAGCAGCCTCAGTCTGCATAGCCACAGGCCCTCTGGTCCCCTCCAGGTGTGAGCCCACAGTCCTCAGTGGAGCAGGCGAGGGCCCCAGGATCCCGCCCCTCCCACGAATGGCTGGGCCTCCAGCCTGAGCACTCACTCCTGTGGCAGTGGGAGGGGGTGGGGAACAAGCGAGGGGAAAGGGCCGTGCCAGGGGACCGCCCTCTGACCCCGGGAGCAGCATATGCCCGCCTGCCACCTGGAGTTGGGATCCAGACTGGCAGCCTCGCCGGCGCCACTGCTGGCTCTGCGTGCCTGTCTGAGGAGCACTGGCCTTGTCTGTGAGCTCTGGCCCTGGGAGTGACTCGCACCTGGAGGTCCAGCCTCCTCCACCACGCCACGACCCTTCCCCTCCATCTCGAGCAGCTGGGAAGGTGGGATGCTGGTTGCCTGGGAGGGGCCTGGGAGCCCCCACCCTCACTGTTCCCACTGTGTCGCCTGTCCATCCAGAACCCCCTTATGGCACTGACAGTAATTCTAAGCAGGGGTGGGGAACGTCCAGCCCACGGCCAATTAGGCCCAAGAAATCGTTTGGTCTGGTCCTGCCCAGGCAACCGCAGGCGGGACTCGAAATTCAATAAATCTAGGAGCTTTCTTCATAGCAACACACATTTATATTAAGTGAATCATAATAACAATGTAAATTTTGAGGGACAAGCAAGGAACGTTAATTACAAGGTAGACAGGACACACACGTGTACATGACAGGACAGACACATATGCCTCTCGCCAGCTGCCCGCGGCCGGCTGCCATAGTGCGTGACTCAGAGGGCAGTCAGCGCCAGGCAGGTGGGAAAGTGCTAACAACTGTGGTGATGAGACCGAGGCAATGCGGTGTGGCGCTTCCTCGAGACGTGGATGACCTCGCCTCCAATGGCTGACAGTGATGTTGTTGACTTCTTTATTGACACAGACCATAACTCCGATCCAACCTCTATCCACTCGCCCACCATCAACAATCCTCGCAAAAACGGAATCTCAGGTGAAGATGAAGGAAATTACGGTACCCAAAAAAGACCAAGAGTAGATGATACTGAAACGTGTTGTTTGGGGTGCAGAGTCTTCCTTGCTCTACAAAGTTTGAAGAATAAACTTGTGGACTAAGGCAGATTTCTTTTAATAAAAATGTAGTTTATTGGAAGCATATACAAATTCCATCTGGGCAGGGATGTCCCCAAAGGGCACTCCCTGGGGAGGAGCCCTCAAATGGGAAAGCCTGCTCTCTCGCTCTCTCTCTTTCTCTCTAATGGGAAAAAATTAACCTAAAAAATCTGAAATCTACTGAGTCTCCTTGTCTCTGGGTTTATAAAGGCTGTAGCTCTTTGTCTGAACATGACCCTTTATAATTGGACCCTTCCTTAATCTAGGACCCCGCGCTTTCCTCATTGGTCACTCTGCTACATAGTATCCATTTCAAAGTCTAAAGCCCACGTGGTGCTCCCCCCCCCCCATCTTGTAACATTTCTTTATCCTCTGTGAAAGCATTCTGGCCTCTTGTAGCTATTTCTGCCCTTCACTTATCCATCTTACCTGTTCAGATTGGAGTTGCTTTTGACCTTCCTTATGGCTCTCTCTCAGTTGTCCTGGCCAGAGATGTTTTATTACCCCTTGTGGCTCTCCCAGCTGCTCATATCAGGGCTGCTTTTGATCTGCCTTATGGATGCTTAATTGCTCAGGCCAGAGGTACTGCTGTCCTTGGTTTATGACTGTTTTAATTGCTCAGGCCAGCAATGTTTCCATCCTCCCTGGACCCCTCTCCTGTCAGCCTAATTAAGCTAGCTAGCTAACCCTTATCAACACGAATGTTGGATATGTTTCAAATGCAAAATGCAGGATTAGAACCCTGGCTGGTTTGACTCAGTGGTTAGGGTGTTGGCCTGCAGACCGAAGGGTCATGCATTCGATTCCCCATCAAGGGCACATACCTAAGTTGCAGGTTCCCCAACCCCAGTAGGGGTGCATGAGGTGGCAACCAAATCGGTGTTTCTCTCACATCAATGTTTCTCTCTCTCCCCGTCCTCCCTCCCTTCCACTCTTTCTAGAAATCAATGGAGAGAATATCCTCGGGTGAGGATTTTTTATAAAGTACAGTTATCAAAGCAAAATAATCGTGTCACTGGCGACACACACACACTGGATAGTTATGAAAGCTTGCATGGTCTGACATCCTACAAATGGTGGCTACAAAGAAAAGGAAAGTTGATGCAGAGTGTCGATCTTTCCAAGAGTCGGGGAACTGCCTCCCTCGGGTCACTGACTGGGCGCGGTGTTGAAAGCACTGGAGGGTTCTGCAGGAGGGTTCCCATTGCTCCCTGGCAACTCCAGGGGCGTAGCAAATGCTGCCCAGCGGGCGGTTGTCCTTCCTGGGATAACGGCGGAGTCTGACAGGCGAACGGAGCCGCTGGCCCTGGCAGCCACGCATGGGCAAGAGGTGAGGGCTTGTTTGAGAGACTTGGTTGATGAAAATTTGAGCTAACATTTGAAAAGTTAAGTGGCCTTTATAGATGGAGCTCCAGCCATGGTTGCCGCGCAAAAAGGGTCACTTGCATTTGTCAAGAAGGAACTGAAAGGTCTCGACAGGATCAGAGTGGGTTCATTGTGGGCCACCGCATCACACGCCAGAAGCCTCTGTGCACAGTTGTTGTGCCAACAGCGGGTGACAGCAGTGGTGTCATGTCTAGACTCTGACAAAAGCAGAGGGTTTAACAGCCGCCAGTGCAAGGAAGGAGTCACTGAACGACCTTGACTGAGTACGGTGACCCTGTTCACCAGGTGCAGTGCGTGCTCCTGAGGGTTTGTGAACTGCGGGGGCGCTCGTCACTCTGGAAGGACAGGCCTCTAGGACAGGAGAATGCTGGGGACTGTGGGGACTCGCGGAGGCCTTTAGGGAAGATTCAGGAGTGGAGAGTAAACCAATGGAACGGAGCATCTTTGCCAGCCATTCAGTGTGGAGCCCTTGGTGTGCCTACAACACGAATCACTCAGCTGCAGAGCAATGAGGAGCTGCTTGAGTGCTACAAACGTGGCCTCAGCAACAATGCGCTTCCCACTTTGAGGAGACATGCATTGACATATGCATCTGTGTCCCCAACTTCCTGCTGTGAGTTCTTTCCTTTTTAAAATTAACTCTTTATTGTTGAAAGCATTGCCTATGTCCTCCTCTGCCCCCATTGACCCCTGCTAGCCCGCCCTCACCCCGCCCCAGGCCTTCACCACCCTGTTTTGTCTGTGTCTATGGCATATGCATATATGTATACAAGTTCTTTGGTTGATCACTTCCCACCCACCCACCCTGCCCTGCTTTTCCATCGAACAGATTCCTCAGTCTGTTTGATGCTTCCTTGTCTCTGGATCTATTTACATATATGTAAAGTTCTTTGGTTGATCACTTCCCACCCACCCACCCTGCCCTGCTTTTCCATCGAACAGATTCCTCAGTCTGTTTGATGCTTCCTTGTCTCTGGATCTATTTAGTTCATCAGTTTATTTTGTTCATTAGATTCCACATGTGAGTGAGATCATGTGATACTTGTCTTTCTCTGGCTTATTTCACTTAGCATGATACTCCCCAGGTCCCTCCATGAAGTCTCAAAGGGTAAGAGATCCTGCTTTGTTAAAGCTGCATAGTATCCCATGGTGTAAATGTACCACAGCTTTTATCCACTCGTCTGCTGATGGGCACTCAGGCTATTCCCAGATCTTAGCTATTGTGAATTGTGCTGCTATAAACACAGGGGTGCATACATTCTTTCTGATTGGTGCTTCAGGTTTCTTAGGATATATTCCTAGGAGTGGAATCGCTGGGTCAAACAGCAGTTCCATTTTTAATTTTTTGATGAAACACCATACTGTTTTTTTCTTTCTTTCTTTCTTTTTTTAAAGTTCAGCAGCAGGGAGACTAGACATTTGACAAGTATTTTTTAAAAGATATATTTTTATTGCTTTTAGAAAGGAAGGGAGAGGGAGACAGAGATAGAAACATCAATGATGAGAGAGAATCATTAATTGGTCGCCTCCTGCACGCCCCCTACTGGCAATCAAGCTGGCAACCTAGGCATGTGTCCTTGACCGGAATCAAACCCAGAACCCTCAGTCCCCAGGCCAACACTCTATCCACTGAGCCAAACTGGCTGCACCAGTCTGCATTCCCACCAGCAGTTTACTAGGGTTCCCTTTTCTTCACATCCTCGCCAGCACTTGTCATTTGTTGATGGTAGCCATTTTGACAGGTGTGAGGTGATACCGCATTGTCATTTTAATTTGCATCTCTCTGATGATCAGTGATTCTGAGCATCTACACTAATAAAAGAGAAACATGGTAATTAGCGTACGACCGCTACCCTTCCCATTGGCTAATCAGCATATCCTTATGCAAATTAACTGTCAGCCAAGATGGCGGCCGGCAGCCAGGCAGCTGGAAGCGAACATGAGGCTTCCTTGCTTCAGTGACTGCAGACTCCAACGTTCCCCACCTGACTTGCCGGCCTCTGAGCTGCAACTCTAAGAAACTTTGTAACAAATATAGAAGCTAAACAAAAGCCCAGAAACCAGCTTTCAGCCGGCCGGGATCTCAGAGCTGGTGTTATACATTGTTTCCATTATAGAACGCAATCAGCAGTGGAAGCCTCAGAGCTAGAGCCAGAGCTAAACCTGGCCCCGAATAAAA